ATTCAAACACTATGCCCTCAGCCTGCATTTCACTGCTAGTGGTTGGAGACCCCCCTGCCTCGGGAAGGAAGCCAAGCCTGTGACGTGGCTCACACCTGTAATCCTGGAACTTTGGGAGGCTGAGGCAGGGGAATAGCTTGAGGCCAGAAGTTCAAGAACAGCCAGTGTGAAAGTGAAACCCCGTCTCTACAAAAAGAAAAAGCTGGACATAGTTCAGGTAAAAATTGGGTATGCATCTGTAGCCCCAGCTACTGGGGAGGCTGAGGAGGGAGGATTGCTTCAGCCCAGAAGTTAGAGGCTACAGTGAGCTATGATGGCACCACTGCACTCCAGCCTGGGCAACAGAGTGAGACCCCATCTCAAAAAATAATAATAATTAAAAAGAAGAAACCCAGCCAGGTATGGTGGCCTGTAATCCCAGCAGTTTCGGAGGCTGAGGTAGGCAGATCACATGAGGCCAGGAGTTCAAGACCAGCCTGACCAACATGGTGAATCCCCGCCTCTACTAAAAATACAAAATTAGCCGGGCACGGTGGTGCATGCCTGTAATCCCAGCTACTGGGGAGGCAGAGGCATGAGAATCGCTTGAACCCGGGAGGCAGAGGTTGCGGTGAGCTGAGGTTGCAGCACTGCACTCCAGCCTGGGTGACAGAGAGAGACCCTGTCCTCACAAAAAAACAAAAAAGAAGAAAGCTAGGGTGTGGCTGATATCACTGCAGTGATGGGGGGGCCCTACCTGTGTGATGGGGGACCAGCATAGACTGGAGGGAGTCTATATGTATCTTTGGAAGAGTCTGCATGTGTCTGGCTGGGCGGGGAGGGACTCCACCTTGTTCAGGGGGAAGGGATCCGTGTGCATTCGGGGGACAGCCACATGTTCCGGAAGATCCGTGTGTGTCATCTGGGTGTGTTTGAGTGTTCTGGGGAGTCTGTCTATGCAGAGGGGCCAGGGTGTGTTTTGGGGATATGTGCGTTGTGTTTGGAGAGGTGTGTGGGTTGGGGAGTTTGGTGTATTGTGAATCGCATGTATTCTGGGGACTTTCTCAGGAGGAATCCTTGTGTATTTGGGGGATCTGTCATGTTTCAGGCACCTGTGGGTTTTGTGCGGCTCTGCTTACGTGTGGGGGTCTCCGTGTGTGGGGAATATTTCTACCTTCCATTATGCCCATACAAGGATGGAGTGACCCCAACCCCATCTGCCCCTGTCCCCCAGCACCCTGCCAGGGACTTCTCGGGGCCGTCACTCTGAGCTGGGTTTCCCCGGGATGGAGAGGTAACCCCAAGGCCTTCTGAGGGGCATCGGAGCCCAGCGACCACAAATGCTCCCCGCATCTATAAAGTTCCTTACTGTGAAGCCCCTCCCCTCCGTTCAGCCAGGTGGCCCCTGCTGCCCCCCACTTTCTGAGGGAGGAAATTGAGTTCCAGAGAAGCTAGGCGACCTGCGATCACTGCCGGAGCCCACCCTCTCCTCTAAGTCCCCGAGGGCAGATGCGGGGATCCAGGGACCGCTGTGAACTGAGCCAGGCCGCCAAGTCACCTACGTGCCCCCCACCTGGGCACCACCTCCCCAGGCCCCCAGGCCCCCAGCGGGCCCAGGGCTCTGGCTGGGGAGGGAGGGTCGCCTGCAGCTGGGGTCGGAGCCGATGGAGCCCCCAGGAGAGGAGGGGGGGGTCCTGGCTTTCCAAGGGGCTCTTCCTGTGGCCCGTAATGAGGTACTTGGGGAGCAGGTGATGAAACCGCAGCCTGGGTTGCGTGAGGCGGGGCCGCAGGCCTGATTGGCTGCAGGGCCCGGGGGCAGCGCCCCTCCCCGCTTCACCGCCTCCCGCGGGCCCTCCCCTCCCCCCAGCGCACCCCACCTGCCTCTCACTTCTCCTTTCCCGGCCCGGGTTCCTCCGCCAAACCGTGGCTTGCCTGCGGGCTCAGGGGTCTGGCGGAGCGATCGGTTCATCCCCCACTCGGTAAAGTCCCGCTGGGGTGCCGAGAAAGGGAACTTGACTTGTTCCTGATCTTTCCTCTTAGACCCCTGCTGCAAAGCCTGCGAGGTTAGGATCCTGTGGCCCATTTTACGGCGGGGCGGGGTGGGGGGGGGGTTAGGATCCTGTGGCCCATTTTACAGGGACGAAGCGGGAGCTGATGACCGTGTTTCAAGGCGGTCTTGCGGGATGCTGCATCGACCCAGTGCCCCCAGGCCCCCCCAAGGCCCCCGAGGACCGGCCCTTCTTCTTTTTGGCTTCCCAGAAGCCAGAAAAAACGTTCAATAGGGGCCCCGCGCGCGGTGGCTCAAGCCTGTAATCCCAGCACTTTGGGAGGCAGAGGCGGGCGGATCGCTTGAGGTCAGGGGTTCGAGACCAGCCTGGCCAACTTGCCGAAACCCCGTCTGTACCAAAAATATAAACAATTAGCTGGGCGTGGTGGTGCACGCCTGTAATCCCAGCTACTCGGGAGTGTGAGGCAGGAGAATTGCTTAAACCCGGGAAGCAGCGGTTGCAGCAAGCCGAGATCTCGCCACGGCACTCCAGCGTGGGTGACAGAGCAAAACTCTCAAAAAAAAAAAAAAAAAAGTCAGTAGATCCGCTCTCCTCATGGAAGAAGGATTCTCACCCCCAATTAACGGGAGAAAACTGAGTTCTACCACGTAGAGAGGACAGAAGGGAAGGGTCAGTGGGAGGGATTCCTTTTGGCACCCCATCTCCATTACTAGGGGGCCAAGAGACCTCGCCAGGCTGGGGAGATGATAGTCTATGCCTGGCTTGAAGGACTTTGGGGTAATATTTGTTGATTGACTTAGTGACCACAGACGCTGCCAGAAAATTTCTGATGCCTCTGCACTCTGAGCTCTTTTGTCCTCCCAGCTCCCCCTGACCCCCGACATTGCTCAGGCCTGGGACCAGCAGGCTCCTCTTGTATCCCAGGCCACCAGCCATCCTGCCCCTTTGGTCACCAAATGAACAGTCCGCTTCTGCCCAGATGACACCCCCATCTCCATTCAAACTCCTATTTCCCACCGGCGCAGCCTCCTCCTGTGACCTCACACCAACCTGAACAGACACTGCTCCCCACCGCAGCCATAAGCAGCAGGGAGCTTTTTTATTTTTAGAGACAGGGTCTCACTCTGTAGCCCAGGCTGGAGTGTAGTGGCACACTCACAGCTCACTGCAGCCTCCACCTCCCGGGCTCAAGTGATCCTCCTGCCTCAGCCTCCCAAGTAGCTGGGACTACAGGCAGGTACCACTATGACCGGCTAGATTAAAAAAAAAATTTTTTTTTGTCATTGTACTTTATTAAAAAAATAAATAAATAAAATAAATAAAAAATAATTTTTTGTTTTTTTTTTTTTTTTTAGGCTGGGCACAGTGGCTTATGCCTGTAATCCCAGCACTTTGGGAGGCCAAGGCGGCTGGATTACCTGAGGCCAGGAGTTCAGGCTGGCCAACATGGTAAAACTCTGTGTCTACTAAAAATAGCCAGACACAGTGGCGAATGCCTATAATCCCAGCTACTCAGGGAGGCTGAGACAGCAGAATCACTTGAACCCATGAGGTGGAGGTTTCAGTGAGTGAGATTGTCCACGGTGCTCCAGTCTGTGTGACAGAGCGAGACTCTGTCTCAAAAAAAAAAGAAAAAATTTTTCTTTTGAAATAAATTATACAGGCCGGGCGCGGTGGCTCAAGCCTGTAATCCCAGCACTTTGGGAGGCCAAGGCGGGTGGATCACGAGGTCAAGAGATTGAGACCATCCTGGTCAACATGGTGAAACCCCGTCTCTACTAAAAATACAAAAAATTAGCTGGGCATGGTGGCGCGTGCCTGTAATCCCAGCTACTCAGGAGGCTGAGGCAGGAGAATTGCCTGAACCCAGGAGGCGGAGGTTGCGGTGAGCCGAGATCGCGCCATTGCACTCCAGCCTGGGTAACAAGAGCGAAACTCCGTCTCAAAAAAAAAAGAAAGAAAGAAATTATACAAAGAAAAATGCACAGATCACTAGAGTTGAGCTCCACACATTTGCACATACTGAATACATCTGTGCACCCGAACCTTGGACCCAGGAACAGGACATCCCCAGACCCTGGGACTTCCCCCTTGGGTACTGCCTAATCACAGCCTCTGTCCAGGTGACCACTGTGCTGTCTGATGTCCGTCAGCCTCAGTGAGGGTTTTTTTTTGTTTGGTTGGTTGGGTTTTTTTATTTGTTTTGTTTTGTTTTTTTTTAACATGGAGTCTCGCTCTGTCACCCAGGCCGGAGTGCAGTGGTGAGATCTCGGCTCACCACAACCTCCACCTCCTGGGTTCAAGCAATTCTCCTGCCTCAGCCTCCCAAGTAGATATGATGACAGGCGCCTCCCACCACGCTTGGCTTATTTTTATATTTTTATTAGAGATGGGGTTTTGCCATGTTGGCCAGGCTAATCTCAAACTCCTGACCTCAAGTGATCCTCCTACCTCGGCCTCCCAAAGTGCTGGGATTACAGGCAGGAGTCACCGTGCCCCACCTCACCAGTGAGTTTTGATTGTTCTGAAACTTCATGTAAATAAGATCACACAGTGCATCCGCTCGGAGGAGTCCAGGATCGTCGAGTTAGCCAGCGGTCTCTGAGATTCATTCACGTGGTTTCGTGGAGCCAGAGTGTAGCCCTTTTCTGTACTGTCTGTAATTGATCATGGAGTCGATGAGAATGTGTCGACTAACTCTCTCATTAAGGGCTTCCGGATTGATTCCAGTTTGAAGCGATGATGTACGAAGCTGCAGAAAACATTCTTGTCTGTGTCCTTGGGTGCAGTTGGACATATTTCTCTTGGGTGAATATTGAACATGGAGGAGCGGGATTGCTGGGTCACAGGGTAGCCATCTGTTCAGATTTAGTAGATGTCCAAGTGATTATCCCTTTTTCCTCTACCACCAGCCATGCGTGAGAGCTGGAAGTGGAAAAGCTTGCAAGATCATCGCTCCCTGTAACCTTGAACTCCTGGGCTCAAAGAATCCTCCTACCTCAGGCTCCTGCATACCAGGACTACAGGTGTGTGCCACCGCATGCAGCTAACTTTGACTTTTTTTGTAGACAGGTTCTCACTATGTTGCCCAGGCTGGTCTCCAATTTCTGGCCTCAAGCAATCCTCCTGCCTCAGCCTCTGAAGTATCTGGAAGTAGCTGGGAGTAGCCAGGAGTTTGAGACCAGCCTGGGCAACATAGAAAATCCCCGTCTCGCCGGGCGCGGTGGCTCAAGCCTAGTAATCCCAGCACTTTGGGAGGCCGAGGCGGGTGGATCACGAGGTCAAGAGATCGAGACCATCCTGGTCAACATTGTGAAACCCCGTCTCTACTAAAAATACAAAAAATTAGCTGGGCGTGGTGGCGTGTGCCTGCAATCCCAGCTACTCAGGAGGCTGAGACAGGAGAATTGCCTGAGCCCAGGAGGCGGAGGTTGCGGTGAGCTGAGATCGCGCCATTGCACTCCAGCCTGGGTAACAAGAGTGAAACTCTGTCTCAAAAAAAAAAAGAAAAGAAAAGAAAATCCCCAGTCTCTACAAAAAACTTTTTAAACTTTGCTGGGTGTGGTGGCACGTAGCTGTAATCCCAGCTACTTGGGATGCTGAGGCTGGAGGATCGCTTGAGCCCAGGAGTTCAAAGTTACAGTGAGCTATAATTGCACCACTGAACTCCAGCCTGGGCAACACAGGAAGACCCCATCTCAAAAACAAAAACAAAAATGACTTGGGCAGATCCTGTCTATTTCAAAGATCTAAGTTCGTTGAAATAATGTTGCCCTTTCCTGTTCTGTGAGATTTGAGAAAATATCTATAAAACCACCTGGGCCTGTTGCCTTACAACATGTTTTTCAAATTATTATTTTAATTTCGAAAATATTATTCTTATTGTTGAGATGGAGTCTTGCTCTGTCACCCAGGCTCGAGTGCAGTGGCACAATCTCGGCTCACTGCAAACTCCGCCTCCCAGGTTCAAGTGATTCTCCTGCCTCAGACTTCCAAGTAGCTGGGATTACAGGCGCCAGCCACCACGCCAAGCTAATTTTTGTATTTTTAGTAGAGATGAGGCATCATGGTGTTGACCAGGCTGGTCTTGAACTCCTGACCTCATGATCCGCCCACCTCGGCCCCCCCAAAGTGCTGGGATGACTAGTGTGAGCCACAGCACCTGGCCGAAATTATTATTATTTTTTAGAGAGAGTCTCCCTCTGTTGCCCAGGCTGGAGTGCAGTGGCTCAAAGCTCACTGCAACCTTGAACTTCATTGCCTTAAAACATTTTTTCTTTTTAGAGATGGAGTCTTGCTGTATTGCCCAGGCTGGTCTTAAACTGCTGGGTTCAAGCAATCCTCCCTCCTCAGCCTCCCAAAGTGCTAGGATTACAAGTGTGAGCCACCGTGCCCGGCCCTGAGTCACTTTTCTAATCTTCTATGGTTGTGGGTCTACTTAAGCTTTCTACATCTTCTGAGGTCCGCTTGGCTCAGTGACTGGCACAGGTTGATGCTTAATAAATGCTAAGTATGAGGGTGCGACGAAAGGGGTAGGAACGTGCTGGACTCTTAGCTTCAAATGCCCACCTCCCTCTACTTTTGCTCAGGCTCCCATTCAGCCTCTGCATCTACATCCAACGACATGCCTCCTCCCCCAGGAAGCTCTCCTGGGTTTCTTCTCCTGTTCTTTCTTCCCTGCCCCATTCCTTGGTCAATGGGTCTACCTCTCTACCTCTGCGCTGGGCAGATAACCACAGCTGTCTGCCTTCTGGCTGGACGAAGCGGGAAGAGTACGTGTGTGCGGGAGAGGCCTTCCCCAAACCTCAGCTTCCCCCCTCGTGCCTGGCACATTCAGCCTGTTCCGCCACCTCCCCCAGCAGTTCCGATCACACCAACATCTGGAGAATGGGTCACCAGGGTCTGTCTGCGGCTCCGGGCAGGGATTTGCATGTGACTACAAATACACATGCACACCCTGGGTCTGCCGCCTCCGCGTTCTTTGCCTGGCCCTTCACACCTGGGGCCGAGACAGGTCAACGCTGGGTGGCTGGATTTGCATGCGCATGTATTTCTGGGCAGGGTATCAGCTGGGGCAGTCTGAGAGGAAGTTGTTGAGGGAAGCTGTGGGCTTGTGGAGGAGGTCAGAGGTCAGTGACATCTCTCTCACCAAACCTTACTGTCCATTCCCGGCCCGGATCCAGAGGGGCTTTTAGCCTGGAGGAGACAAATCCGGATACATCTATAGATCCACATATATATTTCCAACACCATGGAGTCTGAACTGGAGGAGAGGGATGGTGACTGTGAGAGTCCAGAGGAAGGGCAGGGAGGACTCCCAGAGGAATGGACTTTTTGAACTGGGTTTTGATGTTTGAATAGGAGTTGGCTTGGTGAAGAAGGGGAAAAGGTCCTTCTCGTCAGAGATATTTATTGAAGAGAGAGAAGCAGGCAAGAGCTCATTTGGGAAGGGGACTTGAATGACAGGCTGGGTGCTGGAACTTTCTCATAAGGGCAGTGGGGAGCCATGGAGGGTGTATGAGCGGGAGAGGGCCATGCTCAGAACTGTGTGTTGGGTAGATCCCTCAGGGGCTAGAGTGGAGGATGGCTTTGGTTCCAATGTCGCTGGGGTTCAGGGGCGTGAAACTCCTGCATCAGTTCATCTGCAGCTGTCAGGCCTGGCTTGAGAGTTGGTGGAAGGCCTGCTGGTTGCTGGGGGACTAAAGTGGCCTGGAGGACAGTGACTCAAAGTGCAAGGCACAGGCCTAGCGTAGAGGGGGCCCTACCCCAAGTCTCTGTCCAGATGGACGCAGCGCTTGCCTCCTCTCCAGCCACCCATCACCTCCACCCCCGCCTCCAACAGACCTGCTCCACGTGGAAGACATGAACAGAGTCTTTTTAATTTTTTTTTAACTCCATTGCCAGGCTGGAGAACAGTGGCGTGATCTCGGCTCACTGCAACCTCTTCCTCCCAGGTTCAAGCGATTCTCTTGCCTCAGCCTCCCGAGTAGCTGGGACTACAGGTGCGTGCCACCATGCCCAACTAATTTATATATATATATATATATATATATATATATATATATATAATTTTTTTTTTTTTTTTTTTTTTTTTTTTTTTTTTGAGACGGAGTTTCGCTCTTGTTACCCAGACTGGAGTGCAATGGCGCGATCTCGGCTCACCGCAACCTCCGCCTCCTGGGTTCAGGCAATTCTCCTGCCTCAGCCTCCTGAGTAGCTGGGATTATAGGCACGCACCACCATGCCCAGCTAATTTTTTGTATTTTTAGTAGAGACGGGGTTTCACCATGTTGACCAGGTTGGTCTCGATCACTCGACCTCGTGATCCACCCGCCTCGGCCTCCTAAAGTGCTGGGATTACAGGCTTGAGCCACCGCGCCCGGCCAATTTTTTTTTTTTTTGAGACGGAGTTTCGCTCTTGTTACCCAGGCTGGAGTGCAATGGCGCGATCTCGGCTCACTGCAACCTCCGCCTCCTGGGTTCAGGCAATTCTCCTGCCTCAGCCTCCTCAGTAGCTGGGATTACAGGCATGCGCCACCATGCCCAGCTAATTTTTTGTATATTTAGTAGAGACGGGGTTTCACCATGTTGACCAGGATGGTCTCAATCTCTTGACCTCGTGATCCACCTGCCTTGGCCTCCCAAAGTGCTGGGATTACAGGCTTGAGCCACCGCACCCGGCCCTATATTTTCATTAGAGACAGGGTTTTACCATGTTGGCCAGGATGGTCTCAATCTTTTGACCTTGTGATCCACCCGCCTCGGCCTCCCAAAGTCCTGGGACTACAGACGTGAGCCACCGCGCCCACCCGAGCTGAGTCTTAAAATAATAAACCAAACCCCATCTCTTCTTTGCTTAAAACCTTCTCATAGTGGCTCACGCCTGTAATCCCAGCATTTTGGGAGGCTGAGGCTAGCGGATCCCTTGAGGCCAGGAGTTCAAGACCAGCCTGGCCAACATGGCAAAACCCCGTCTCTACTAAAAATACAAAAATTAGCCAGGTGTGGCAGTACATGCCTGTAATCTCAGCTACTTGGGAGGCTGAGGCAGAAGAATCGCTTGAATCCAGAAGGTGAAGATCGTGCCACTGTCCTCCAGCCTGGGTGACAGAGCAAGACTGTCTCAAAAAATAAAACATGCTCTCATAGCGCCACGTCACTCTTAGACCCACATCCACAGCTCTTCTCCAGCTCAGAAGGCCCACAGTCCAGGCGCAGTAGCTCACACCTGTAATCCCAGCACTCTGGGAGGTCGAGGCAGGACGATCACTTGAAGCCAAGAGTTTGAGACCAACCTAGACAGCACAGTGAGACTCCATCTCTACAAAAAGAAAAGAAAAATTGGCAGGGCGCGGTGGCATGCACCTGTAGTCCCAGCTATTCAGGAGGCTGAGGTGGGAGGATTACTTGAGCGTGGGAGGTCAAGGCTGCAGCTGAGCTGAGATTGCACCACCGCACTCCAGCCTGGGCAACAGAGCGAGACCCTGTCTCAAAAACATAAATAAATGTGGCCAGGCACAGTGGCTCGTGCCTGTAATCCCAGCACTTTGGGAGGCTGAGGTGGGCAGATCACTTGAGGCCAGGAGTTTGAGACCAGCCCGGCCAATGTGGTGAAACCTCGTCTCTACTAAAAATACAAAAATTAGCCATGTATGGTGGCATATGCCGGTAATGGCAAGCTATTCGGGAGGCTGAGGTGGAGAATCACTTGAACCCGGGAGGAGGAGGTTGCAGTGAATCGAGATCATGCCACTGTACTTCAGCCTGGGTCTCAAATAATAATAATAATAATAGGCCTGGGTGCGGTGGCTCAAGCCTGTAATCCCAGCACTTTGGGAGGCCGAGGCGGGTGGATCACGAGGTCGAGAGATCGAGACCAACCTGGTCAACATGGTGAAACCCCGTCTCTACTAAAAATACAAAAAATTAGCTGGGCGTGGTGGCGCGTGCCTGTAATCCCAGCTGCTCAGGAGGCTGAGGCAGGAGAATTGCCTGAAGCCCAGGAGGCTGGAGGTTGCGGTGAGCCGAGATTGCGCCATTGCACTCCAGCCTGGGTAAGAAGAGCGAAACTCCGTCTCAAAAAAAAAATAATAATAATAATAATAATAATCATAATAATAATACATTAATTAAATTAAATTAAAAGAAGGAAACCCAAATAAAAGAGGCCTAGAGTGGTCCAACCTCTGTGGCCTCACCCCCTCCCTCCCTCCCACCGCATAGCTGTTTCTTGTCCCTCCTCAGGGCCCTTGCACCTGCTGTTCCTTCTGCCTGGAACTCACTTCCTGTCTCAGCTCTCAGGGTCTCAGTGCAGAGAGAGACTTCCCAGCTCTCCCCCGTCACTGACCTCTGCCCTAGCCATGGTGTCTGTGTCTAAAATAGGGCCAGACGGAGTGAGAAGGGGCTCCAGTCAGGTCTTCCATGCTTAAGAGACTCAGGCCCAAGCCCCAGCCCTGCCGCTGCTCTCCTGGGACCCTGGGCGTCAGGGGCATTTCCGGAGTCATCTTGGCACTGGGACCTCCGGACCAAGGCCCCCCTTGAACCCCTAGGGACCCGTCAGGGTGGGGGCAACACATCCCAGCCGTGGGAACAGGCCCGATTCCGGCTGGGGATTAAAATTAGCCCTGAAGGTTAAATTTAGCAAGTCAAGCCAGAACTGAGGGGCCGGGACCCACAGCCTGGGCTCTGCATGGTTGTGGGGGCTCAGATACCCAGCCCAGAGAGGGAAGAGGGTGTGGCTGAGGTCACACAGCACACTACATCTGCCAGCCGAGGTGTCTGACACTTATGGGCCTGGATATTGGAGGGTCTTGCCCGGACCACTTGGGCAGGAGCCTTGGAAGCCCCTGTGGCCACTCCCAGAGAACAATCTGGATTTCTTTTTTCTTTTCTTTTCTTTTTTCTTTTTCTTTTTTTTTTTTTTTTGAGGTAGAGTCTCACTCTGTCACCAGGCTGGAGTGCAGTGGCGCGATCATTTTGTCACTCAACCTCTGCCTCCCGGGTCCGAGCGATTCTCCTGCCTTAGTCTCCCAAGGAGCTGGGATTACAGGCGCCCACCACCACGCCTGGCTAATTTTTGTAGTTTTAGTAGAGATGGGGTTTCACCATGTTGGCCAGGCTGGTCTTGAATGCCTGACCTCATGTGATCTGCCCGCCTCAGCCTCCCAAAGTGTTGGGATTACAGGCGTGAACCACTGTGCCCAGCTAATTTCTTTTTTTTCTTTTTTTTTTTTTTTGAGACGGAGTTTCGCTCTTGTTACCCAGGCTGGAGTGCAATGGCGCGGTCTCGGCTCACCACAACCTCCGCCTCCTGGGTTCAAGCAATTCTCCTGCCTCAGCCTCCTGAGTAGCTGGGATTACAGGCACGTGCCACCATGCCCAGCTACCTTTTTTTTTGTATTTTTAGTAGAGACGGGGTTTCACCATGTTGACCAGGATGGTCTCGATCTCTTGACCTCGTGATCCACCCGCCTTGGCCTCCCAAAGTGCTGGGATTACAGGTGTGAGCCACCGCGCCTCTCTTCTTTTTTTTCTTTTTTTGAGACGGAGTTTCACTTTTGTCGCCCAGGCTGGATTACAATGGCGTGATCTCGGCTCACTGAAACCTCCACTCACCGCAACCTCCACCTCCTGGGTTCAAGTGATTCTCCACAGCCCCCCGAGGAGCTGGGGTTACAGGCCTGCACCACCACACCTGGCTAATTTTATATTTTTAGTAGAGAGGAGGTTTCTCCATGTTGGTCAGGCTGGTCTCAAACTCCAGATATCAGGTGATCTGCCTGCCTCAGCCTCCCAAAGTGAGCCATGGCACCTGGCTTTTTTTTTTTTTTTTTTTTTGAGATAGAGTCTTGCTCTTTCCCCCAGGCTGGAGTGCAGCAGCACATCTGCCTCAGCTTCCTGAGTGGCTGGGATTACAGGCATACCCCATGACACCCGGTTAACTTTTGCTTTTTTTTTTTTTTTTTTTTTTTTTTGAGACGGAGTTTCGCTCTTGTTACCCAGACTGGAGTGCAATGGCGCGATCTCGGCTCACCGCAACCTCCGCCTCCTGGGTTCAGGCAATTCTCCTGCCTCAGCCTCCTGAGTAGCTGGGATTATAGGCACGCACCACCATGCCCAGCTAATTTTTTGTATTTTTAGTAGAGACGGGGTTTCACCATGTTGACCAGGTTGGTCTCGATCACTCGACCTCGTGATCCACCCGCCTCGGCCTCCTAAAGTGCTGGGATTACAGGCTTGAGCCACCGCGCCCGGCCTGCTTTTTTTTTTTTTGCTTTTTTTTTTTTTTTTTGAGACGGAGTTTCGCTCTTGTTACCCAGGCTGGAGTGCAATGGCGCGATCTCGGCTCACCGCAACCTTTGCCTCCGGGGTTCAGGCAATTCTCCTGTCTCAGCCTCCTGAGTAGCTGGGATTACAGGCACGTGCCACCATGCCCAGCTGATTTTTTGTACTTTTAGTAGAGACGGGGTTTCACCATGTTGACCAGGATGGTCTCGATCTCTTGACCTCGTGATCCACCCGCCTCGGCCTCCCAAAGTGCTGGGATTACAGGCGTGAGCCACCGCGCCCGGCAACTTTTGCATTTTTAATAGAGATTGGGTGGGCTGGCGCAGTGGCTCACGCCTGTAATCCCAGCACTTTGGGAGGCCGAGGCGATGGATCACCTGAGGTCAGGAGTTCAAGACCAGCTTTACCTACATGGTGAAACCCCATCTCTACTAAAAATACAAACTTAGCTGGCATAGTGGTGGGTGCCCATAATCCCAGCTACTCGGGAGGCTGAGGCAGGAGAATCACTTGAATCTGAGAGGCAGAAGTCGCAGTGAACTGAGATCGCACCACTGTACTCTAACCTGGACAACAAGAGCAAAACTCCATTCCCCCCCCCCAAAAAAAAGAGAGAGAGAGATGGGGTTTCAGCATGTTGGCCAGGGTGGTCTCAAACTCCTGACCTCAAGTGATCTGCCCTCCTGGACCTCCCAAAGTTCTGGGATTACGGGCATGAGCCACCGTGCCCAGCCTGATCTGGATTTCTTGAGAACTGATTGCCACGCCTGGTGGTGGGTGCTCAGTATTTCATACCAGCCCATTTACAGAACAGTAAACTGAGGCTGGGGGAGAGGGCTTCTGTGCTGAGGGCCACCCTGAGGGTCAGAGGAAAGGCCTGGCAGGAGCACAGGTCCACATGACCCTGGAGAGGACCCTCACCTGAAGCCTCCGTTACCTGTGACATGGCAAAGGCTGGGAGAGAGAGGGTGTGGTCACACAGTTGGTGGAGCGGGGATGTCCCCTGGGGGCTCAGGGGACATCTGTATAGCGGGCCAGCTGCTGCAGGACAGGCCACGTGATTCTGTTGTTCCCAGGAACCTGGCGTAGGGGTCGCTGGGGAAGGCCTAGACCCCAACATAGTCTAGCAGTCTCCTCCTTCTGGGACCCCCAGCAGGGTGATCTCACATTTCCTTGAGTGGGTACAGGGTTTCTCCCAAGTCACCAAGTGGATGCCAGGTTCACATCCTGGCCTGAGGGCTCTGAGCTGGAGGCCTTTCCAGAGTGCCTGAGTCCTCCTGTAAAGTGGGATGGCATTGCTATTCTGCTGCTCCTTCTTCTTTTTTTAAGACAGGGTCGGCCAGGCGCAGCGGCTCACGCCTGTAATCCCAGCACTTTGGGAGGCTGAGGCGAGTGGATCACTGGAGGTCAGGCGTTCAGGACCAGCCTGACCAACATGGAGAAACCCCATGTTTACTAAAAATACAAAATTAGCCAGGTGTGGTGGCACATGTCTGTAATCCCAGCTCCTCGGGAGGCTGAGGCAGGAGAATCGCTTGAACCCTGGAGGCGGAGGTTGTGGTGAGCCAAGATCGTGCCACTGAACTCCAGCCTGGGCAACAAGAGTGAGACCCCACCTCAAAAAAAAAGATAAGAAGCCGGGCGCGGTGGCTCAAGCCTATAATCGCAGCACTTTGGGAGGCTGAGGCGGGTGGATCACGAGGTCAAGGGATCGAGACCATCCTGGTCAACAAAACCCCGTCTCTACTAAAAATACAAAGAAATTAGCTGGGCATGGTGGCGCGTGCCTGTAATCCGAGCTACTCAGGAGGCTGAGGCAGGAGAATTGCCTGAACCCAGGAGGCGGAGGTTGCGGTGAGCCGAGATCGCACCATTGCACTCCAGCCTGGGTAACAAGAGCGAAACTCCGTCTCAAAAAAAAAAAAAAAAAAAGATACGGTCTTACTCTGTTGCCCAGGCTGGAGTGCAGTGGCAAGATCATAGTTCACTGCAGCCTCAACTTCCCCGGCTCAAGTGATCCTCCAACTTCAGCCTCTGGAATAGCTGGGACTCCAGATGTGTGCCACCATGCCTGGCTAATTTTTGTATTTTTTGTAGAGCCAGGGTTTCAACATGTGGCCCAGGCTGGCCTCAAACTCCTGGGCTCAAGCGATCCTCCTACCTCAGCCTCCCAAAATGTTAGGGATTGCAGGCGTGAGCCACCATGCCCAGTTTGCTCTAAACATGTTTATTGAGCCTCTACTGCGTCCTCAGGCTGGCGGGGGGCGGGGTCTGCGACAGTGACCCAGCCTGGCTTGATTTTCCCCATCGCCTTCCCCTCAGTGGCTGGCAGTGGCAGGCAGAGGACCTGCGTGAGGCTGGGCACCCCTCCCCATGCTCCGACCACTCACTCTGTCCTCTCTCCCTTCTCCCCTAGACCAAGATCGCTCTACCATGGGGAGGAAAAAAATCCAGATCTCCCGAATCCTGGACCAAAGGAATCGGCAGGTGAGTTCCCCGGTGCAGCAGTGGCTGGGAAAGACATTCCTAGCAGAGGCACCCTTGACAGGGCGCTGGCCTCACCAACTGAACTGCAGGAGAATGAGGAGGCGTGGCTGGGGCCCATGAATGTCAGGAGTTTCAGACGGAGCGTTTCTTGTTCATCCTTCTTCCCTCCCTGCCTCCCTGCCTCCCTTCCTCTTTCCCTTCTCTCTCTCTCTCTCTCTCTCTCTCTCTCTCTCTCTCTCTCTCTCTCCTCTCTCTCTCTCTCTCTCTCTCTCCCCTCTTTTTTTGAGACAGAGTCTCACTCTGTTGCCAGGATGGAGAGCAGTGGTGCAATCTCTGCTCACTGCAACCTCCGCCTCCCGGGTTCAAGTGATTCTTCTGCCTCAGCCTCCTGATTAGCTGGGACTACAGGCGCCCGCCACCACTGCCCAGCTAGGCTGATTTTGATAGTTTTAGTAGAGTCGGGGTCTCACCGTGTTGCCCAGGCTAGCCTCTGACTCCCGACCTCAATCAGTCCTCCTGCCTCGGCCTCCTAAAGTACAGGGACTAGGGGCTGAGCCGCCACACCCGGCCTGCTCATTTTCATGATCATGGATTGATTTATTCTCCCTGATGACTGGAACCCCAGCCATAAGGGGGAAGGAGCTCGACACACACACACACACACGCCCAACTCAGAGGGAGGCCCAGGACTGGGAAAGCCCAGAGAGAGCATGTGGGCTCCGCTTGGGAAGCCAAGGCGCACTTCTCAAAGGGGAGGAGACATTTGGGCTGGGTTTTGAGGCACCAATAGGAGTTTGCCAGGTTATGACTTGAGAATTAGCGGTGCAGCCAGGAAGAATCCCGAGGCATGTTGGAGGAACAGTTAGGCTCTGCCACATCCCCCACCCCACCCCACATTCCAGGTGACATTCACCAAGCGGAAGTTCGGGCTGATGAAGAAGGCCTACGAGCTGAGCGTGCTCTGCGACTGTGAGATCGCCCTCATCATCTTCAACAGCGCCAACCGCCTCTTCCAGTACGCCAGCACCGACATGGACCGCGTGCTGCTGAAGTACACCGAGTACAGCGAGCCCCACGAAAGCCGCACCAACACGGACATCCTCGAGGTACCCCGGGGCCTCCCCGCCAGCCCCACGAGGCCCCGCGCACGCTGCTTGCTCAGAGCGCAGGGACCCTCGGCTTTGCACAAAAGATGAACGCCGCCATGTGGCTTCGCGGCTGCTAACGCGGGCTTGGGGGAGCGGAGGGGCCCTTCTAGGGACAGCAGAAATACAGCACATCCGGCTGCGCGGTGGCTCACGCCTGCACTCCCAGCACTTCGGGAGGCCGAGGCGGGCGGATCACGAGGTCAGGAGTTCAAGACCAGCCTGGCCGACATGGTGAAACCCTGTCTCTACTAAAAATACAAAAATTAGCGGGGCTTGGTGGTGGGCGCCTGTAATTTCAGCTACTCGAGAGGCTGAGGCACAGGAATCGCTTGAACCCGGGAGGTGGAGGTTACAGTGAACTGAGATTGTATCACTGCACTCCAGCCTGGGCAACAGAGCAAGACTCCGTCTCAAAAAAACCAAAAAACAAAAAAGAGGTTGGGGTCCAGGACCGTGTGGTTCTGTGGCTCTAGGAGAAGGCAGCTGAGGAAATCTGCTGCTGTTTCTTAAGCATCTTTTTTCGTTTTTTGAGACAAAGTCTCGCGTTGCCGCCCAGTCTGCAGTGCAGTGGCGCAATCTCAGCTCACTGCAACCTCCACCTCCTGGATTCAAGTGATTCTCCTGCCTCAGCCTCCTGAGTACCTCTGACTACAGGCACATGCCACCACGCCTGGCTAGTTTCTATGTTTTTAGTAGAGATGGGGTGGGGGAGGCTCACCATGTTGGCCAGGCTGGTCTCAAACTCCCAACCTCAAGTGAGCCACCCGCCTTGGCCTCCCAAAGTGCTGGGATTACAGGCATGAGCCACCACGCCCGGCCTCTTAAGCAGGGTTTGATGCCAGGCTATGAGGCTGCACGTGGAGGCAGAAAGGGGGTCCCCGAGTCATGGTCGGGAGCAGCATTAGGACAGCGCCAACAGGCCTGCGTGGTCTCAGCTCCTGCTGTGCTGATCTGGGCAGGTCCTTGGGCTTTCTGGTCCCAGGGTAGGAAATTGCTAAATGGTAACTCACTGGGGTTTGGTCAGTGGGGTTTGGCTGGAGCAAGCCATGCCTGCATTCCTCCCTACCCACAGAACTGGGTGGGGACGGTCTCTCCCCTCTCCCATAGAACTGCGTTCCCTCGCCGGGGTAGGGGCGAGGGTCTACCTTGTTGTCTCCCGTCTACATAGACACTGAAGCGGAGGGGCATTGGCCTCGATGGGCCAGAGCTGGAGCCAGACGAAGGGCCTGAGGAGCCAGGAGAGAAGTTTCGGAGGCTGGCAGGCGAAGGGGGTGACCCAGCCTTGCCCCGACCCCGGCTATATGTAAGTGACCCCCCCTGCCCCCTGTGAATAGGGTATTCCTCCCACTTCCTAGACCCAAGTCGTTGAGGCTGGTACTAGAGAGAGGCTTAGAGCCAGGGAGCCTGGAGTTTGGAGGCAGATCTCCACCTGGTTGGGCAGGGAAGGCTTCTTTGAGAAGTGGGCACTGTAGCTGGAGCTCTGAAGCATGAATAAGAGTTCAACAGGCAAACAGTTCCTTCCCCCATTTGATCTTTGATTCATCCAACACTCTGTGCAGCCCTGTCAGTGCCAACTCTACACTAAGTGAGAGCCCTCGGCTCTGGACCTACCTGTTGGTGACAGAACCAGATAGAAGCTCCTGCAGCCTGTGGGGTTAGGGCAGAGGGAGGAGCAGGTAGAGAGCCCAGTGAGAGGTGCAGCAAAGGCTTCCTGAAGGTGGAGCCGGGCCCTCGAACTCATCGGGATTTTCTCCCTTGGACTTGGCACCCCCATCTACCCTGGGGTCCTCTGACCCTACCCCCTCTGTACCCAAGCCTGCAGCTCCTGCTATGCCCAGCCCAGACGTGGTATATGGAGCCTTGCCACCACCAGGCTGTGACCCCAGTGGGCTTGGGGAGGCGCTGCCTGCCCAGAGTCGCCCATCTCCCTTCCGACCAGCAGCCCCCAAAGCAGGGCCCCCAGGTGAGCATGGGACAGGGGTCCCCAGGGGGCTGTTTGGGCGTATCGTAGCTCTGGTGCTGCCAGGCTGCAAGCATCACCTCTAAACCTCAGACTCATAGTTGACGTGACCCACCTGTCCTCTCTCTCCCGGGGTCTCCTCTTCCCCAGGCCTGGCGCACCCTCTCTTCTCACCAAGCCACCTCACCAGCAAGACACCACCCCCACTGTACCTGCCAGCGGATGGGCGGAGGCCAGACCTGCCTGGTGGCCTGGCTGGGCCCCGAGGGGGACTGAACACCTCCGTGAGTGAGGGGAGGGTGTGGTGGGGCTGATGAGGGCGGCAGGGCGGCCGGCGTGTGGGCCTCAGTTTCCCCTTCACCCTCTCTCCGAACAGAGAAGCCTCTACAGTGGCCTCCAGAGCCCCTGCTCCACTGCAGCCCCGGGACCCCCGCTGGGGAGCTTCCCCTTCCTCCCGGCAGGCCCCCCAGGTACGCCCCCTAACCTGCCCTGTCCTGCCTGGGAGGCGTCTGTACTCCTGCCCTCTCCCACCTAACAGAACTCAAAACTGTCTGGGGCTGGTCAGGTTTGCCAGGCCTCAGCCCCCAATTCCTGCCCACCAGAATATGGCCTGGGAGACCCTCCGCCGCCCCCTGGCTTGCTGCAGCCCCCCACCCTGGCCTCCTGGCAGCCCTCGAGGGGTGATGGGCCCCCCACCATGCCCTCCCAGCCCAGGTAAGTGCCCTGACGACGGTCCCAGCTCGTCCCCATCCTCCAAAGCCCCGGCCGCTGCTGACCCCCGGTGGCCAGCCCTGGTACTGCGCACACTTCCCCCAGCTCCGTCCGGTTCCCAGTAAGGATGGGCAGCTATTTTGAGGCCCCAAGAGGGATCGCCGCCCCCTCCTTTCCCAGGGTCCTCCTGCCGAGCCTTTGCCCACGCTGTGCCACCACCCTCCCGGCTTCCTTCCCTTCCTCACTGAGCTCACGGTCTCCCCCTCTCTCTTTGTCCCTGCAGTGGGGGCCGAAGCCTGGGCGAGGAGGGCCCCCCAACCCACAGCGCCTCCCCGCCGACCCCCCCAGTCAGCATCAAGTCCGAGCGCCTCTCTCCGGCCCCCGGGGGTCCCGGTGACTTTCCCAAGACCTTCCCCTACCCCTTGCTCCTCGCCCGGTCCCTGGCAGAGCCCCTGCGGCCCGGGCCCGCCCTGCGCCGGCTGCCCTTGGCGGACGGCTGGCCCCGGTAGGAGACCCCGCGGTGGCACCGGCCCAGCGCTCTAAGCCGCGCGCGCGGAGAGGCCACGTGGGGACCCCACCTCCCACCAGGCCTCTTCAGAGAAGACCCGACAGTGACGGCCCCTCCGCGGCGGGGGCTTGCAGGTGCAGGGCTGGGCTCGATCCTCCCTAGGGGGCTCCTTTTCTCCTTCCGATTTGTGTGTACATCCATAAATAAAACTGCGCGTGGCGTCCGTGGACCAAACTCTGTTGCTCAGAGCTCTCTCGGGACCTCATTCTTGCCTAGTCTTGGCTTGGGGTCCCACCTCTAGAAGCCGACCTGAGACAAGGACTCAAGAGCCCTTGGGGTGTCCCGGAGGGCTGCAAGGTGGAGGGGTGGGGAGGCGAGGCGGGAGGAGCCCTGCAGGGGGCGCGCACGAGCAGCAGGTGTTTAGCGGGGGACGGCACAGAGTGATCACGCACCTGGGATGGTCCTACTCCAGGGGTGCGGGCCTCTGGCTATTTCCTTTCCCGGGCCACTGGCCGGGGCTGCTCCTGGCACCGGCCCATCACAGGCTCTGGGACAGGCCACTAGGCTGGGTCGTAGGGCTCCCGAAAGCAGCCCGTGGGAATCCGGAATGTCAAAGCTCCCAAGGTACTGGGAGCGCCCCTGAACTGCTCATCTTCTTATTTTTTTTTATTTTATTTTTTATTTTATTGTTATTACTTTTTGAGATGGAATCTAGCTCTGTCGCCCAGTTTGGGCGACAAACTGGGAGTGGCCCAATCTCGGCTCACTGCAACCTCTGCCTCCTCGTTCAAGCGATTCTCCTGCCTCAGCCTCCTGCTGGGACTACAGGTGTGCGTCACCACGCCGGGCTAATTTTTGTATTTTTAGTACAGATGGGGTGTTATCATGTTGGTCAGGCTGGTCTTGAACTCCTGACCTTGTGATCCATCCGCCTCAGCCTCCCAAAGTGCTGTGATTACAGGTGTGAGCCACCGCGCCCGGCTATTTTATTTTTTGAGACAGAGGCCCCCTGTATCACTCAGGCTGGGTTTCAGTGGTGCAGTCTCCACTCACTGCAACCTCCATCTCTTGGGTTCTAGGGATTCTCCTGCCTCAGCCTCTGGAGTACCTGGGACTACAAGCACCTGCCACCATGCTCATTTTTGTATTTTTAGTAGAAACAAGTTTCTCCATGTTGGTCAGGCTGGTCTCGAACTCCTGACCTCAGGTGATCTGCCCACCTCAGCCTCCCAAAGTGCTGGGATTACAGATGTGAGCCACGGTGCCCGGCCAACTGCTCATCTTTTGAATGGATGTATCTCCTGAGCCCTTGACCCATCAATTTGTTCTACCCAAGGGACAAGAGAGCAGGGTGCTTATCCGCCCACTCCAAGGGTTGCAAACTACCCCCACTCAGGCCTGTCCTGTGTGTAAGGGCAGATGAGTGTCCTGGAGTCAGGGTAGCTCCTAGCAAATAGTTGATGTGAGTCAGGGTCCATCTCATCCCATGCACCCCAGGTGGTCTAAGTGGGATTGTTTTTTTGAGTTGGCGTCTCACTGTGTTGCCCCTGCTGGTCTCAAACTCCTGGGCTCAATCGATCCTCTCAACTCAGCCTCCCCAGTAGCTGGAATTACAGGTGCAAGCCACCACACTTGACATTCAGTGGGATCTTTGTTACACTTAAAATCTGACTTCTTGCCGGGTGTGGTGGCCAATGCCTGTAATCCCAGCACTTTCTTTTTTTTTTCTTTTTTTGGAGATGGAGTCTCCCTCTGTCACCAGGCTGGAGTGCAGTGGCACTATCTTGGCTCATTGCAACCTCCGCCTCCCCAGTTCAAGCAATTCTCGTGCCTCAGCCTCCCAAGTAGCTGGGACTACAGGCATGCGCCACCACGCCCAGCTAATTTTTGTATTTTTAGTAGAAACAGGGTTTCACCATGTCAGTCAGGATGGTCTTGATCACTTGACCTCGTGATCCGCCCACTTCGGTCTCCCAAAGTGCTGGGATTACAGGGGTGGGCCACCACGCCCAGCCTATCCCAGCACTTTGGGAGGCTGAAGTCGATGGATTGCTTGGGCCCAGGAGTTTGAGACCAGCCTGGGTAGCATAGTGAGACCCCCATCTCTACAAAAAATAAAGAATTAGCCAGACATGGCTGACACACTCCTTCAGTCCCAGCTATTCAGGAGAATCTCCTGAGACTGGGAAGTCAAGGCTGCAGCGAGCTGTGGTTGAGCCACTGCACTCCAGCCTGGGCGACGGAGCAAGACCCTGTTTCAAAAACAACATCAGCGGCCGGGCGCGGTGGCTCACGCCTGTAATCCCAGCACTTTGGGAGGCCGAGGCGGGTGGATCACGAGGTCAAGAGATCGAGACCATCCTGGTCAATATGGTGAAACCCTGTCTCTACTAAAAATACAAAACATTAGCTGGGCATGGTGGTGTGTGCCTGTAATCCCAACTACTCAGGAGGCTGAGGCAGGAGAATTGCCTGAACCCAGGAGGCGGAGGTTGCGGTGAGCCGAGATCGCGCCATTGCACTCCAGCCTGGGTAACAAGAGCGAAACTCCGTCTCAAAAAAAAAAAAAAAAAAAAAAAAACATCAGCAATGACAGCCACAACAAAAAACTGACTTCTAGCCGGGTACAGTTGCTTATGCCTGTAATCCAAACACTTTGGGAGGCCGAGATGGGAAGATGGCCTGAGCCCAGGAGTTTGAGACTAGCCTGGGCAACATGGTGAAACCCCATCTCTTAAAAAAAAAAAAATTAGCCAGGCATGGTGGTGCATGCCTGTAGTCCCAGCTACTCAGGAGACTGAGGTGGGAGAATCACCTGAGTGCCCTCAACTGCTCACCTGATTTTTTATTATTTTATTTTATTTATGAGAAATAAGAGGGAAGTCAAGGCTGCAGTGAACTATGATTGAGCCACTGCACTCCAGCCTGGGCGACAGAGCAAAAGACCCTGTCTCAAAGAATGAAAGAATGAAAACAAAAACAGGCTGGGTGCGGTGGCTCACACCTGTAATCCCAGCACATTGGGAGGCTGAGGCAGGTGGATCACTTGAGATCAGGAGTTCGAGACCAGCCTGACCAACAGGGTGAACCTTATGTCTACTAAAAATACAAAAATTAGCCAGGCATGGTAGCGTGCACCTGTAGTCCCAGCTACTCGGGAGGCTGAGGCAGGAGAACGGCTTGAATCCAGAAGGCTGAAGTTGCAGTAGCTGAGATAGCGCCATTGCACTCCAGCCTGAGAGCGAGACTCAATCTAAAAAAAGAAAGAAAGAGAGTGGGGGGGGGAAGGAAGGAAGGAAGGAAAGAAGGAAACAGAGAGAGAAAGAAAGAAGAAAGAAAGAGAAAGAAAGAAAGAAAAGAAAATCAGTCACCCACACAAAAAAAACCTAGCTCGGCATGGTGGCGTGGGCCTATGGTCCCAGCTACTCAGGAGGCTGAGGTGGGAGGATCACTTAAGCCTGGAAGTTTAAGGCTGCAGTATGCTATGATTGTGCCCCCACATTCCAGTCTGGACGGCAGAGTGAGACCCTGTCTAAAAAAATATAAAAAATAAAAATAAAAAAATCCTACACTCTCCAACCCACATTGAGGTCCAAGCGCTCATTCAGCGCTGACCATTCCTCCATCTCTATTTATGTTTGTTTTGAGCTGGTGTCTTGCTCTATCCCCTAGGCTGGAGTGCAGTGGCACAATCTCAGCCCACTGCAACTTCTGTCTCCCAGACGAGATCGGGCGCGTTCAGGGTGGTAAGGCCCTAGAGGCCGGCAGTGCTGTGGCAGCGGATACGCCCCCCTCGACCCCCACGAGGAGGTCCTGGGCTGCAGAGGGGGCGCAGACGGGAGAAAAACGGGCGCGGATGGCTCAAGCCTGTCATCCCAGCACTTTGGGAGGCCGAGGCGGGTGGATCACGAGGTCAAGAAACCGAGACCATCCTGGTCAACACGGTGAAACCCCGTCTCTACTAAAAATACAAAAAATTAACTGGGCATGGTGGCGCGTGCCTGTAATCCCAGCTACTCAGGAGGCTGAGGCAGGAGAATTGCCTGAACCCAGGAGGCGGAGGTTGCGGTGAGCCGAGATCGCGCCATTGCACTCCAGCCTGGGTAACAGGAGCGAAACTCCGTCTCAAAAAAAAAAAAAACAAAACAAAAACAAGGAGAAGAGACAGGAGGCTGTTGAGAAGCCCGGTGACAAAAGGGGGAAGAAGGAGGGAGCCAAAAGCCTACAGCACCCGGTATTCCCAGGCGGTCTCCCATCCAAGTACTAACCAGGCCCGACCCTGCGTAGCTTCCGAGATCAGACGAGATCGGGCGCGTTCAGGGTGGTGTGGCCGTAGACTGCTGGCAGTGTCGCCTGGCTGTCCTCAAGAGCCTGCGGCGTGGCAGCGTCAGAGGCGAAGCCCCAGGAGGGGGTCCTGGGCTGCGGCGGGGGGCAGGTGGGCGGAAAACCAGAAGAATCACGGGGGCCGTTGGAAAGTCGGGCGACAAAACTGGGAAAGGGGGAGGGAGCGGGAAGCCAAAAGCCTGTACATACCTGTAACCCCAGCACTTGGGAGACCGAGGAGGGAGGATCGCTTAAGGGCACGAGTTCAAGACCAGCCTGGGCAATATAGGGAGACCCTCCCTCACCCCCAAAATCTCTCTGGAAAAAAAAAAAAAAAAAACTTTAAAAATTAGACAGGCATGCTGCGTGTTCCAGCGGGAGAATCGCTTGAGCCCAGGAGGTGGTGGTTGCGGTGAGTCAAGATCACGCCGCTGCTCTCCAGCTTGGACAACAGAGCACGACCCCGTCACAAAAAGAAAGAGAAAAGAAATTGTCCTACCACGGAACCATCTTTTTTTTTTTTTTTTGAGACAGAGTCTCTCTCTATCGCTCAGACTACAGTGCAGTGGCGCCATCTCGTGCACCCCAAGTAGCTCGGATTACAGGCGACCTGCCATCACACCCTGCTGATAGTTGTATTTTTTTGTAGAGACCAGGTGTCACCATTTTGACCAGGCTGGTCTCGATCTGCTGACCTCAAGTGACCTGCCCATCTCAGCCTCCCAAAATGCTGGGATTACAAGCATGAGCCACGGCGCCCAGCCTATTTTTTATTTTTATTTTTTTATTTTTGAGGCAAAGTCTCTGCTGCCCAGGCTGCAGTGCAGTGGTGCAATCACAGCTCACTGCAGCCTTGACCTCCTTGGTGCAAGCGATCCTCCTGCCTCAGCCTCCCAAGTAGCTGGAACTAC